CCCAGGTTTGGCACGAGCAGCAAAGTTGGTATGTAGTTTGATTCTGATGAGTCGGGGGGGAGGGGGGGTGTGTACCCATTGGGATGTTTTGACGGGAGAAGATGGATGCTAGTTGTTATGTGACCGCTTGCCCTTTGTACCGGTGTTCTAATTTTATTTTCTTTAACCATTTAACTGCCAGGTTTAAATGTTTCCAAGGTGATTTAATTCCTACATTAGTTTCAGTTTTGTGTTGTTGAGTTGAGGTTTGGTTTCTGGAGATCTTCATTACTTCTGTCTTAGTTGTGTTCTTTTTCCTTCCATATTCATTTCTGACATATTTTGTTCAATCAAGTGATATGTTCTTGTACGCTGTCCTGGTCTTGGTGTATGAGTCGGGTTACCAGCGAAGAGCAGGTCGTTGGGTTGGTCTGAGTTGTCGTTTACTTCTTGTGGTACCTTGTCCGTGTAGATTATGATGAGTGATGGCGATAGGACACAGCCTTGCCCGACACCAGATGGGATTTTGAGCTAGTGGGTGCTTCCTTCGTTACTTTATACACACCCCAGACTGCTTCCCAATAGTGCTTGGATGCTACTGAGAAGTAAATCTTTCAGTCCACATTCTTCCAAAGTTTGTCATAGCCTTCCCTATCGACAATGTCAAATGTGAGGCATCGTGGTGGAATCAGGCTCTCGTCAATTTTTGGGCACATCGAGTTATTGGTATCATCTTAAAGCTTGTTCACTTGTCTTTATTTGAATGAAAACAATATCCGTTTATCTTAAATACAAGTCGAGATATTTGAGAATGAAGAAGGTGGGGGTCACCTGTTTTCAGAGGTAAAATTAGTGAGAAAATGGCCGCCAAAGATTACTTTTTTCCTTAGATCTAGCTTAAGAGTCCGTGGTAACTGAAAATTTACATCTTCTGTGCCTTTAATCAACGTTTTTCAGAAAAAATTCCACACAGAAATGAGTTCTTTAATGGGCATGACAGGTGTTGAGCCCAAAAACAAAAATTTGATAAAAATTCATAAACCCGCAGAAAAATGCAAGTTTCTTCACTTTGATTATTTTGACCAGAGCCCGATTCCACCGCGCTGCCTCACAAATGCCCTCTTCTCATCCACGAACATGTTGGAATGTGTGCAGTGATTACAACTAACTCAAGAACAAACTGTGCGTGGACAGAAGACAAAAATGGAATAACTCGAGAACACAGTTGGTGCAACACGCGGATCTTTCTGTAGGTTTTGCTCCTCACTTGCTGTATACACCCAAGCTCAGAAATAATACTGGCTAACATGGATCGGTTCATACTTGGATCATACAACAGATAAAAAGTTATATTGTACATAATACTTAGAAATAACACAAGAAAAACATTAACAAATTAACTGTACATTTCCGGGTGCGATCCACCTCTATACACGAGACTAACAGTTTTGATGTACAGACAACACGCTTCCTCGGAATTACACAATTTTAGCTGACCTATTTTTGGACCATTTTGAGTTACAAAGACCATGACGTCATAAACCAAATGTTCTATCTCCTCTATGAATATCATAAGATTAATTGGAGTCGTTTTCCTGGTATTTAAAGAACTGCATTTCGAAAAAGCTTGACATGTGGAGGAAATCAGTAATTTTTTTAACGTTAAATTTCTCAAAACTGATACTCAGCAGAGAGAACTTAGCAAGTCCAGGGTAGCGAGTAGCCGAGATCCCCGAGACGGTCAGTCAGACTGTCGGAACATTATCATAATGATTACTTTTTCAATACGGTTTGTGTTGTAGCAAAGATTCTGGGTTTTATTTGCTTCTCTGTACATGTTGCTTCGTTCTTTTCGAATGTCTGTCGTCGTAGTTTGACCCAAGACGTCTTGGGTATGACTCGTTTTGACCGTTTCTATTTGTAGAGAACTCGTGTACCTCAGACGGGTAACGGTAGTTGGCTGTACTTCTGGCCTTTCCCTGTACATGTAGCTGTGGCTGTGGCTGTACTCTTTTGTACAAGAGAGAGAGAGAGAGAGAGAGAGAGAGAGAGAGAGAGAGAGAGAGAGAGAGAGAGAGAGAGAGAGAATGAGAGAGAGAGAGAGAGAGAGAGAGAGAGAGAGAGAGAGAGAGAGAGAGAGAGAGAGAGAGACTCCGTTAAGGATTTATGGTATGAAACCAAGGTGTGTTTACGAATAGGCCATGTCTTTAGAGAGAAAAAAAGGTCTATTGTGAGTAATCAATGTCTGTTGAGGAATATAATAAAATGTCTCGTCTATGAAGAAAGAGTTACGGTCTGTTGAGATGACGAGTAAAACACTACATGAAGAGGAATAATCAAAGTCTGTTTTGAAAGTCATGTATTTCATGGCCAACATTTTTTTTTAGACTGATGTGTTGTGTCAAATAAGATGTGTAGACAATTAATTATTTGCCGTTCATGGAAAAAGTTAATGATTTTTTGCTTGGAAATTTTGATAAAATGTGTTAGTTTTTATCGAAAGTTTTACTAGAATCTACTCTTTGTCTTTATAGATAATAAAAATCGGTTCACACTGGGCATTAATAACTAATGTTTTCTTGTCTTTTGGTATTTAATTAATTTTAAATTGTGTCTAATTTTCGATATTCATTTTCTCCCATGGTCCATGAGCCATATTCAAAATCAATGGGAGTGAAATGAAATTTAGTATAGTCTTGTTTTGTGCTTACTTTAAGCTTTGCCAAAGACACGAGACAGACATCGGCATCTGTGGTGTGGCGGTCAGGCAATACGCTGTCGCACATTCGTCCTTTTTCTTCTTTTTTACTTTTTCACTCCACTAAATGACAGTTATTGTGTCGACGTGCTTCTCTTTCAACAAACATCTCTCTCTCTCTCTCCTTCCCTCTCCCTCTCCCTCGCC